CCGGGAGCAAGCATCATGCTTTTGAGACATGCTGCCAAGCACGGGTAGCGTTGCCCTTTCCACTGAATACCTCGAAGAAAACGAACGGTCCTCCAACCTTGAAGTCAGTCCATTGGAGGAGTAGGACCTAGGTGGAAATTCCAGCAAGATGCGCACAAGATATTGCAAGAGAGGTCAAGAGGACCAAAATTGTAAGGATCCTGAAAGTTGGTATTATAGGTATTGTTTTTAGTGTCCTCTTGACCTCTCTTGGTTGGGCATCACACTAGCTCCAAAAAACCTTCGGTGCAGTTGAGACACCAGACATACTAGGAGTTTTGGCGCCCCCATTCGCATAAGGTTAAATGGTATAGACCGATTGCGATGGGGCAATGGCATGGCTGGAGCTCTACAACCCCGGCCCCTAAGGTCATCTCTCACAGCCACAATCTCACAGTGTGAGAATCGCTCATGTTGGTAAAAGACCCATGACAAGCCGCTCTCACACATGAAGGCCACTCTCACATCAAGGGGGGAGAGGCACCTGCCAGCTTCGCCCGAACCATCCAGGCCATGTTCTTCAAGAAGATTGGCGCCTGGCGACGCGAAGCTTGGGGGCCCAACACGTAAACCACATGGCGCATCAGGGTGTAGGATCCCCAGCTTTTGTTTCACTCTGTGAGAGATAGTGCTGGTTGGCAACTCCGATTGCGATGCATTGCATCGGCTATAGCTATAGGTTGCAAGCGAATCTGATCAGCTGCAACGAACCCCCAAAACCACGTGTTCTCACATGGTCATGTTAGCCTTTCCCATAAAGGCTGCACTTCTTGAAAAAGATCTTTCATTGCAGTAGGCTCTCACTCAGTGGCTCGGTAAGCCTTGGGTGTGGAGGGTCATGGTCAAGAAACTAACCGAGAGAGAAACAGGATACGCCCTCCAAGACACTTTTGGAGGGCGTATCATATCCTATAAGCCATGTTTCTTCCATTTGTTGGAATGTATTGTATGCACAGGCTAAATGTAACCAAGTTGCTTCTTGCGCTCGCTCACGGGCCGTCTCTTCCCCGAGGGAAATATTCTTCTTGTATGCTGCGTTGTAGGCGCAATACTTCCTGGAACGCTTGGCTTTCCTCTTGGCCTTCTCTTCATCCTCAACTGTCTCTTCAGCCTTGGAAGCCTTCGATCTCCTCCCCTCTTTGGTCTTCTCCTCTTCCTCAGGCTCCGGGGTGGGCTTTTCCGCATCCGACTTCCGCTTTGAAGGCTTCCTTTTCGCCTTTGCCGAGGTGGCCTCTCCTTCATCCTTTGATGAAAGCTTTCGAGCTTTGGCTGGCTCATCATCTTTGCCGTCGCTCGCTGCCTTCCTCCGCCTTTGCTGCTTGGGTTTGCTGGCCTTCTCTTCCTTTTCAGGTTCAGCCTTTTCCGCAGCACCACTTGATTTGGATGTCCGAGCCTTCGCCTTGGCCTTCGCCTTGGCCTTCGCGGCTGGGCGCTTCTTCACATCCTTCACCTCCTCCTCCTCTTCCTCCTCCTCTTCCTCCTCCTCTGGCTCTGAACCCTCACCACTTTCATCAGCATCTTTCTTCGAAGCTTTGGATTTGGCCTTACCCTTGGCCTTGGCCTTCCCCTTGGGTTGGCCTGAAGGTGCAACTGGTTTCCGGGCTTTGACTGCAGCCGGAAGGATGGGGAGGCCAGTCTTAACCTCCTCAGGTTCCTTAGGCTTCTCACCATCATGTGTCTGAGCCTTCTCAGGTTCCTTAGGCTTCTCACCATCATTTGTCT